GGCTATTGCAATACCGGTAAGTATTTCTTCTAAACATTTTTAATTATTAGAAACTGATTTATTTCTATTGAACAGCGTATACATATGTAAATCTCTACACAATTTCAATAACTTTCATGTTCTCGAAAGCTACCATGTAATAGTATTGCCACTATTATTATTATTATTATTATCGGTGACAGTTCCATGTAATCTCTCTAGACTCCAAAAAGGAGGAGCAGTGTAGAGTCCAGAACGATGACTTCATACACTTCTTGTTAAATGTAAAAAATGACAGTGTGTATAATGCAGAGGTAGGTAATTCCCCAGAATTATTAGCCACAGCATTCATCACTGAACATTGGATGCTGACTCCCACTGTTTAAGTCGATTTGCTTAGCTGAAGGCTTACGGTCAAGTATCCACACCATTTGACACGCGATCGCGTTACGTTCGTTCGTGTACGATCCCTAGCTAGTTAAGCAATCATCTCGCACTCCGATTTGGTCCCGAAATATACTTCGCAATTTGGACGATCGATTCTGTTGTTTTGCTTTGCCTTTGATCTACGCAGAACGAATACTGTAGAAATTGAGGGTATTAGATTTTGTGTTAGTATACTTCGTACTACCCGTTAACGACGACACCCTCAGCCTCTTAACTGGTGAGCCCTACCGCGAACTTCATCTCTGGTAAACACGCGGGCAAATTCAGTGGATTCGTTCCATTTTGTTCTGATTTTTAGTCAACATGGGATCACTGACCAGCGTTCACAGTTCCTTGCAGTTGTCCGCGCCCTATTGAGGGAATTAGGAAAATGCGTAACTGTGCAAATGTTAAGCCCAGAGGTAATTAACCTGAATGAGGTGCTTAAAGCAACCTTCCTAAAGAGAAACAACCTCTTGGATCTTTATCGTCTTGACGAACTATTTCACAGCGTAAGGTTAGGTGACCAGTCGGATGTGAACATGCTGACGATAATGCGAGAAGTTATCGGCCAACGTCACTTTGATGAGGGACTCTCTAGAGAGCTGTTCTTATACAAATTGTCAATGTCAGTACAGGCTGTAATTGTGACCCTCCAAGGTGTTATTGCAGATGACTTAGCTACTTCTGCCGATAAAATTCTAGAAATAACACAACAGCCAGTTACAGAAATGTGCTCAATCGCTAAATAGATTTCCAGGAGTGACACAGCAGTCATAGAGTTAGGCAACTCCGCTAAGCAACTACTTGGGTCAAATAGTCCCCTTATGCGTCGCCCCCTGGAACCCACATACAGTGGACCATATAAGAACACAAAAATATGTTTAAATATATTGTCCTAGACAAACTAGGCTGCGAAGATTCCGTTAGCATCGACCGTCTGAAACCGACCTACTTAGAAGGCAATTCCATGAGCCTAGAACTAAGCAATCTCAATAATAAACAAGTAAACGAATATTCGTTAGTCCTCGAAGAAATTACTAGCACGGCGAAGGCACCCGAACCTTCTACCGAAACCCAAAAGGAAATACGTTAAGGAAAAACCGCAAGATTCTCAGAAAATCTTCACACTTATCTCACATAACAAGATGATGCGACCCACGCAATTTATTGCACTTGTGGTAAATTTTGTGTTTCTTAGGCACGTAATCTTTTTGGACTTACTTTGAAGTTCGGCTTTGCTAACAGCACATTATCCCGAGTTTTCACTTGTTCTTTTTAGTGTGACGTTGGTCACATTTGGTCGTATGCGGCATATTTTATACGTCATATTTTAGAATGCGAAGACGTCGAGGTATTCCGGCACATTAATCAGAGTTAGATATAGCGAAACCTGAAGACAGCTCTACTGAATCGTAAAAGCCTTCCGAAACAAGATGGCTTGACTCAAGTACAAGTGCCCGTATCTCTGGCTGTCCTATGTAGTTCTGAAACTTGCAGGACTAACATGCGACAGAGAAGACTGTGAAGCGAAAATCGACAGAAGAGGTAATATACTAATAGGACCTAGAAGTATGAGGTGGCTGAAGAGTTTTTTGTACACAGAAGAGACGAACTCCGGTCAGGATAGGCACATGATGCTGCACGGATCAAATTCATGAAGTCATTTGGGTGCCGAGTGACAGCAAACACCACTATGTTACTAACTGGGGAGGTTCAAAAACGTCCAACGTGCGGGCTGAATCGCTGGTAACAAAAGATCAAAGCGATACTCATGGTCCGAATTGTGGAACTTGACAAGGTCATTAACGGTGGCGACTGTAATACACGGCCTGTCATCATCAGAAAGTGACATGCAGATAGATGAGCCTTTTGTAGACGTATACTTGATGTCTTGACTACTGAACTGTATGAAACCATCAGCAACAACACACGAACGTGGTGAACGGTTCACATTCTCAGAAAGATTGCCACCACATGGACTATCATCTGTTCATAAAGAATGTGCTGTCTGGACCACCAACAGCCAGCAGTTTTACTAAATGACTAAGTTATTAAAAGACAGTGAACGAGTATTATGGTTGAGTTGGGGGAGTAATCAAAGACGTCACTGTCTACATCATCCCAGTGATACTGGTAACCCCACGAAGCACAAACTGCTGGGTAATTAGAGGCATATAGAATCCGATCCAGAACAAAAAAAGCCACTGTATAAAGGAAGATTGTGAGGGTTTAGGGGATCAAAGCGGTTCGTCATTGAAATTGAACCTATGTCATTCCACAGTCGATGACTAATTTGTTTATCTCTGCGGACTGAAACACATGGTCAACAACTTGATATTCGAGTGACAACAGGTTGGCTGCTATGTTGTTGTGTGATTGTGTATTTCCATACTGTCTTTATATCACTATTTATAATTATATGTTTGAGCAACCGCGAGTGCTGTACTATCCTTTCACTAGCTGGGACGGGGTTAAGGAGAGTCTGGTCACCAGGTAAAGTGGGTAGGCTAAAGGGTTAGCAGGTGGTGTGACTATACCTAATGTCTAGCAGGACAGATAGCCACACATCAGTCATTAGAGCTATTTCCAGTAAAAGCCAACGGAAAGTGAGCGCAAACCTTTCCAAGAAGCTTAACTAACTGGTTTCTTATGACGAGACGGTTTGTAACACACAGAATATCTACTCTTAGGGAATCAAGGAGGGTATGGTGATATTCGAGGAGTGGTTCTCAACCGAAGTTCTGAGTCTGCTCTAAACCGTGTACACTGTTTGAGCACTTACTAAATAGATGCCAGTTGACAAGGTTTAGGAAATGTACTATCCTTTCAAAGGGTAATCTACAGAACCCCAAGCCTTTTAAACCTGTGGCTCAATTGCTAACAGTAATAGAACTTTTTGAAACCCTGCTGGACGGTCCCATCATTGGACATCTTATACCAAAACTACATGCCCCAGGAAGCTCAATATGAGTTCATGAAGGATCGATCGACAGAAATCCGAGGCCAAAATATTCCATTCTATGGCATATTACTAGACCTCCAGTAAATCTGTAGTTTAGAGAACCACAGGTCCTGTTCTGGAAGGTCTTCAAAATAGGAGTCGGCAACCAATTGCTCCCTTGCATTCTATCCTACCTACAACGTAAAGTAATTTTCATGTAGGGGAATAAAATCAGAAGCCCACCGCAAGGATGGACTTGAGGTCTATTGTTGCTTTCGATTTTAAAATATGATCTGCCACATTGTTTAAGCTATTCAACTCCTCTTTATGGGTGTGATGTTAAGATGTGGAGGTCTATGATAAACAAAGAAAAATCGACCAGGCTACGAAAAGACTTGAAACAGCTTCACAAATGGGTAGCGTAAAACGGGCTACTTGTCAACAATAATATATGTCGAATACTGTTCGTCTGTGCACTGGCGGAACAAGCATTTGCATACTGCAAATGCAGAATCCTTAGCATGTGAAGTGCATCTTCAGACTTCTTCTGGCACAAAAATCAGACGCCAGTTTTACGAAGGACTTGTCTAAAGCCACTAGCTCTACCTTTTATTTACGTATGCATCTGACAGGACTTACATCTGGACGCTATTAAGTAGAAGGAACCAACCCAAAGGCAACCCTTACTTCACATTATTATTGCATCAGCAACACTAAAATGAGTGCAATGGAGGAACACTAAAATTATTGGGTAAAACTGCCGAATCAATGACGTCCTATCTGCAAGATATTAGCGCCACGTCACCATGCGACTCCTCAAAATTATAATAACGAAACTAATCATCAGAGGGCAGCACTAAGGTAGTGAGCAACTGCCATATTCTCAGGGTTTACCACCTATGGATTTCACTGCCTGCCTACGAATCAATTAATCCCTCACTCCATTGCTCCACAAATAAAGTAAGAACACAAAATAGCATGTTTTTATTGCGTTCTTACGAGAAGCAGACTAGTTCTACGGAGCCGTACAACTATCTTACTCGTTTTCTCGGACTTCAACATCCTGAAATTCATTGTAATTTTTTGTGATGGCCTCAAGTTCAGCAGACTCGTTCCCTTCATTTTCTCTTTCTCATTGACGTGTACGTGCTTTCACTTTATTGTGTTATAAACAATCCTCCTGGCGTACCTTCCATCTAGTGCATTATTTTCAATCAGCTTAGTATCAGTTTTCCTCGAGAGCTTGTCAGGCTAACCATGGGATTTTTGGAGAAATCTGTTATCCCCAGCCTCGCCACTACCTGAGTCCAACCTATACATCAGTCCTAAATTAACTAATGTAGTCTGCACACTGCGCTTACTAATGTTGCAGAATTTTAATGCCTAGACTTTAATGATATTTGAACCGTTTCGAAAAAGTTATAATAGCAAAGAGTGAAAAGCACTTCTTACCTGAGACAAATAAAACGATTAGAATCCAGTTCCAAAATGTATTAACTCGTAAAAGTGAACAACCTGGAATAATGTGTTCGAAATTCGATGGAAGCAAGAGATGTTTGATTACATATTTGGTATTAAGTTCAAGGTCATTGCTAATGTCATAAAACTGTGGTTTTTCAAAATCCATGTTTGTATAAAGAATTTTTGTCAGAAACACTCACCTTAGATTATTGGCGTTCATAAGTTAATTGACTAAAATAATTCGTGATCATTATACTATTTACATGCTTGGATCGCATGTTCAGAGTCTTTTTGGGAGCAGTCAAATAGCGAATCGTGATTTATTATTGTGCACACATTCGTACTAGTTAGGTTTAATTCATCTATTATTAATCTTTATTTACTTCCAGGATTCTGCATAATTCACAGTTTTTTGGAATTCTATCAACTGTTAAGGATACATTATCATGTCAGAATCATTAAATCAACTAGCTAAGTCTGCTGCTTTCCTGATACTTCATGAAAATCTTGAACGTTGGGCTTCTTCATACAAAGTAGTCTTAATGTGATAATTTAATCAAAACTTGCAGAAAAACACCTGTGACGAAAATGTGGCGATGGGCTGTGAGATAATTGAGCTTAATGCAAGAATACAGAATCAACTTTTCCGCTTAATCAGCATTTGTGCATCAGAAGGTATTATTATTACTATTTTTGTTTCTAAGCATCTACTACAACGTTAAAAAATGTGAATTACTTTGCAGTAACAATTGTTAGTCAAACAAATTTCACCCACGCTACATTGTAGTGTGACTGCATTCATACAAAGATTAAACAATAAATTTACTGCTTTATATATATACATATATATGCATGCTATAGATGTGGATATTTCATCTTGATGAGACCCAATTTTCGCTATACCATATGGCCCTCTGCTTCAAAATTATCTGGGTTCCAATGGGATATGCCGAAATTCTATCACCTCATGTATTTTAATAAGACTCACCACTACACAAATCGTGAGAACAATGAAATTTTTACGTTTATGAACTAGCATAACAACTGAACTCAGTACCCCTCAGAACAAACAAAACATACATCAAATTACACAGTGAAAGTCAGTCATAGTGAAAACGAATCAGGATAGAAGCATATGGCCATACAAGGTCAATATTCACGCGCCTGTCTGAAATATTTCGCTTCTGGTACAACCATTGTTCTTTTAAATAGATATCTCGGTTTGCCTCGATTGGTCTATCACTATAAATAATCGTTGCAGCCCTGATTTAATTTCTTTTTGGCTTTCTGTTAGCCTCAAGAAAATAATTTAAACGATATACGGAGAATATCTGTTATAACTTTTTATTCGGCTCCGAAATCAAAGCAAAATTCATCGCACTGCGTAATGCTTATAATATAGTATCTACCTTTTTATTTGAAGCAGTTATTGCTGATAAAATACAAAGCCATAGGTTTATTAGTTGGACAATGTTAGCTGATGTAGGACTGGGTTAAAGAAGAGTTGAGGATGGTCAATTGAAAAAAATGAGATCAGTCCATGATGTCATTAACTGTACATTTTAGCCAAGTTCAGGAGTGTAAACTGTCTGATTAAGGTCCTAAGACGCTGAGAATTAACGATACAGTCCAAAACTGGTTTCATTGATATGATCAATCAATTGGTTTCCACTAATGTTATCTCTCACATCCATGAAATTCTCATTATTATTCTTCCCGTATACCTCTGTTCACTGTTACTCCATTTAAACTTTTTCCATAACTCTTTGTGCCAAATGAAGTGTGGTAACTTTATTTCTGATACGTTTGTCGGATATTCTTCGCTAAACATTCAATTTAATTCAGCTTCTTTTGTATGACTTAAAAGGTTACTGGAAAAAATATACCAAAATATGGTAAAATGAAGAAAGGAAAACATAAATACCAAAAATTCATGATAGTTACTACGTCACATTTAGGAATTATGTAGACAGTAAGAAATGATCTGTATAAGTTCTAGATATTTAGTTAACTTTAGTCTGGCCTTATGAACCATAAAAATACAAATTCAATCGACTAGCCTGGTTAACTTTTAAAAATATGAAACAAGGTAGACAAATTTGGATATCACCACGTAGTTGAATTCATATTAATGATGAGACCTAATATATTTAAGTGCCACAACAGTCGATATTTGCAATAATAGCAAACCACTATATCAAGCATCACCAAGGTAAGAACAGAATTTAAAAGGTGGATGGCCGAAATACTTGTTCATATACTACCAAAATAAATGGTTTTCAGAATCATTACTGAAGGTTAGTCAGCGTCATGTCAAAACGTTCTCAAGTGTGTTAGCTTTGGAAGTTTATGGTAGTAATGTTATGTGGAAAGTCAATGAAAGTCCAGAAACTATACCATCTAAAGCACATACTTGAGTCGTGAAAGTTGTTTTTGTTATGAAGCTGATAGAGAATTCGTCACATAAGGATATTTGCTAAAGACAAAAGGTATTATGACATGACCATATTTTGTTCCCTAAACGAAATTTCATCGTTTATAACAGTCAGTTATCGTAATCAAAGACCAATTTATTGAACAATAACAACAATGACAATAGCCAATAAATAATGTCTTCAAATGTTTCTGTGACATTTTAAGTTACTGTAATAATTTTGTTCAAAAAAGTACTGCGTCATGAGACTAGATACCAGTAATTAAAAATGAATACTGAGAAAGAGAATGAGACCTCAGAGGGTGGAAGCGATTACAGGTGGCATAACTACTGGGCATTTCGGGGGTGAGCATTGGATGTTTCAAGATATAAACCAAACACTTTACTAAATTTAATGGGTAGTTTGATAATTTCACTTAATGTCAATATATTTTAGTGGTCTCAATCGCTGAATAACAAACTTTTAACCATTCACAAAGCCTTCGGCTGCAACTCATTATCAAGTTTCTACCTATGTTGCTGCCAAAACTACAAGAGTTGTTGAGGAATTGGGAGCATTTTGAAAAAATTTTGCCAAAATTTCACTTCTTACCAGACAGATTAGAAATTGTTCGACTGAATTTGATGTAGTATGGTTTCATTTAACTCCGATTTTTTTCTCTTATCAAGGAGGACTTTATGGTGGTGCTAGTGCAATCAAACTTAGACTTCTACCGCTTCTTGGATCTGGCACTGTATTCAATGGTTTTACTCTTGGACCACAGACGCCGAATTCTAACACATTTTCTCCCAAAACATATGAATCTAATATTTCAAAATATTCCAAAGTAAATACAGAAGATAAAAATGAATTTGATGCCGTTGAAACACATAGAGAGAATTATCGACTGAGAGATCAGTAAGTTTATTATGCCACTTTGACGATAAGGTTATCAGAATACATTATTTATTTAAATATCTGAAAATTTACTAACCTAATGTCATACTTTGGTTGGCAGACGTCTATCTGTTTATCTGAATTGTGGTTCATTCTGACAAACATTAGAATTTGAAAATCATATAGTAACAAAGGCTATTAATTCACAGCTTCGGTACTTCTGCTACAAAACTTACAATTATGAACGACAAAAGACTTATCACAAAGTCAAAAGTGATAATAGAAACTGCGTAGATCTCTTCCCGGTAAATCCTGATAAATATTTGACAAATCTTTCTAATGTTACTCTATCTGCTCATCAGAAAGAAGATTTACCCCTTGGACTTAAGTTTTGTGTTCCTCGCATAACGGATTTATCCATCCATGCTGAATTCGAAAACTTGTATGATCAACTCAAACCTCTTGTCGCAACGTACGATGAAGATCGGGGTTGGTTTAAAGCCAAGATGGTGGATATAGCTCACCAGTTTTCAAACAACAATCCAAAAGAGAAAAGCATTTTAACTTCCCAGCATGTCAAAGCCTTTAAAGAGCTATGGGAAAACCTTAATATAACAATTATGAAACCTGATAAAGGTTCTAGAGTCGTCATCATGAACAAAAGTGACTACAAATCCAAAATGTTATCTATTCTTGATGATGAAAGCAAATTTAGCCGTGATCCCTCTTCAGAAGATATTCACTTGTCGCAAAGCACAGTGACAGCTAATCCAGTGAAGCTTCTTGGCCTAAATGCTATAAGTAAAGATATATTTTACTCTTTGTAACCATCAGAATTTAAATTCCCGCATATGTATGGTTTACCGAAAACACATAAGCCCAATAATCCCCTACGTCCTATATTGTCAGTTTGTAGATCCCCAAAACATAAACTCGCTAAATCGTTAGTAGAATTATTGCATCCAGTCAAAACACAATTCTGTAAGTATGTATTAAGAGGTACATTTGAACTGGTTAATTGTCTTGATGATATTAATATTATGAATAAAAATATGTATTGTTTTGATGTAAACTCTTTATTCACTAATGTGCCTTTACTTAAAACAGTTGACCTTTTGTGTGTTTACATTTCCACACATAATTTTTTCATCCCGTTCCCTATATCTTATTTAAGGGATTTATTACTTCTATGTACTAACAATGTTAGGTTTACATTTGAAGGTGATTGTTTCCGCCAAGTTGATGGTGTTGCTATGGGAAGTCCGTTAGGGCCCCTTTTAGCAGATATTTATATGTCGTACATTAAGAATCTATCGGAGGATTTAATCGAAAATGTGACACTTTATAGAAGGCATGTAGATGACATCCTAATCACAAGTGATAGGCCCTGTTCCACCACCTCAATTTTAAATCGAATGAATGAATTTCAGAGTAGCATATCATTTACGTCTGTGGAAGAGAAAGATAATTGTTTATCTTTCTTAGATATATTACATGTTCGACGGCCTGATGGATCCATAAAAAGATCTACTTACAGAACACATACCTGAACAGGACAGTATCTTAATTATAACAGTTCAAGCCCTTTTCGGTACAAAAGCGCCTTAGTAAGGCGCCTCTTCAATAGAATCCAACGAATATGCACTGAAGACACACTTGATGAGGAAGAAAGAAGGCTGACACAAACTTTGGCTGATAATAATTATCCAGTCAAGTTCATCAGGAGACATAAAGTAGTCGAAACACCAAGCTTCCCTATATGAGTGATCACACCAGCTTGCTAACTCGACAGAGATTGAACACTGTGGTTAGAAAGACTTTTCATGCAACTGAGGTAAGAGTAATTGAGAATTTGAAGCCAATATATCCATCTAAGCCCTTGGAAAATGCGAAAAATGATGTCACATCCCACTGTATTTACCAAATTAAATTAACGTGTGGACACATATACATACGGTGGACTCATCGATCTCTGCAAATACGGGCTTCAGAGGATATTCCTAAATGGCTTCAGAAGCAAATGGAATCCACAGAACCCAATAATGATGAGAACAGGAGACCTAGCTACTGAGAAACATATTATAGAGACAGGAGATAAAACTGACATTTGGACATATTTTAAACCTATCTGTAGAAAGTTTAAATCACCTTCATGCGTTCAAAAACAACTCTTCATCACACTAAACCTTCCTTGGTAAACTTTGTTTTGATTCCATAGCAGATGTACTATTACCTCTGTTATTTGGTTTAGTGATCTTCATTGTTATTTTGACCTTCAATATGTCCTTTTAACTTGACCTAAATTTATTTTCTCACCTCTGAACTCTTTAATAATTTCATATATATTCCTACGACAAGTCCGTGTGTTACGAGATTGTTCGAAATGTGTTGCGCAGATACATTACACGATTCAGACAAATTATGCCTTCTTATTGTGTTGTCTAAATTCAGGATTGCGTATTGTATGGCACTGTAAAAAAAGCATTATTGTTTAGTAGCTACTGAGTAGTAAAACATAAGAGTTCACAATAAGGCGTAAAATTAAAGTTGAAACATATCTGGTTGTAGAATTTTAAGGGATATGATCTTTTTCACTGCAGTCTTCATCACAAACCAACAGCATTTAGAGTAAAACTGAAAATCTGAAAGCAATGAACTGTCTTTTTGTCCTAGTTTTGGGAGTCTAGAGCAGCTGTCCTGTACTCCTTGTTTCTCAGTGATTCTCTAGCTTTCTGGTCTGTGATAAAATCCACACTGAAGTTGAAATATGTGCCTGGATTTAAAATGTTGTTGATAAAAACAATTTACTTTTACCAAAATTGTATTATTCATGAAGTTATCAAATGTATATTTTGGATAAGTTCCACAATTATCTCTTTAAACTAAAAACTATCCACAACAGAACATATCTTTTCATACTGGGCTTTTAAATTACCATAAAAAGAATACAAAATATAATTACAGGATTTTCATCATGAGCTGACATTAGTTAGAGAACCATTGGAAAACCTGGGAGTACTCGACAGCTGTTTCGTCCTAGTTTGGGAATCTTCAGCAGTACACACCCACCGGGATTCGAACCCAGGACCTTCTGGTTACAAGGTGAGCTCGTATGCCATTAAGCCACTGGGACCCGATCCAATGGCCCATGAATTCTAACTTCTGCCAATTCACGACATAGCGCGACCGCTAGCCAATGTCTTCGGCGAGTATTTGTCCTCACACCCGACCTGCTGCACCCTGTAACCAATCAAATCCCTACAAACGAACACTTGAAAATATAATTAGTCAGCAGAAAATGCGAATTAATCCAAAAAGATTTTAGAAATGAAAGCAGACACACGTTTCAGAAGAGGTGGCTTTCGTAGCCCAATGTATAATGCTTTGACATTTGAGACGATGAGTGCAGGGTCAAAACCTCAGAGGGGACACCATAACTCATCGGGGAAACAGGTACATTCACTGACTAGTCCCAAATTGGACGAAGTGAGTGTCCTGGATTTCACTACTAGTCATCATCAACCAAAATAAGATTTTTTTAAAAACTAGTTTGTGATATCCATCATTTCATCCGATGATAGACTACATGCATTTGGAGGGTTTCGTATTACTAAGAAACGTTAGCGACAGTGCAGTTTAAAAGTTCCCTAATCTAGTGTCAGATTATATCATAGCTTATTCTTACCTCTTATTTCGAAATATATTGCGTTGAGTAATTTTAACAATATAGAATAAAACATCACTGAATCATAATGTGGAAGATTTACTACTCGTTATCGATTAACTTTGAAATAGATTTCCTGTTGATTTGATGATACGTTTCTACCGCTTGGATTTGCTGTTTTGAAGGTGAAGATGTATACTGAACAATGGATAGCTGTGGCTATTTTCATCCATTTACAATCTGCACTTTATTGGATCTTAAGACAGTCACTACACGGTAATGTTTTCGCCAATTTCTTTATCAGTCCTGAGTTCAATCCATGTCATGACTGTGAGTGTAAACTGCTGAAGATTACCAAAGAGACATGAAAGGCTGTCTAGAGGCCACTGACTATTGACTGGTTTTTAACCTGTACGCGCCCTTTCATATCCATTAATATTAAAGTGCTTAGCTCATCAGAAATACACTCATCTTCATACACTTTTGATTAAGTCCTACACATTGAGTCGAAGAAGCATAATACTGGCTGAATATCTAAACCTGTAACAACAGAAGACAAGGGCCAGGCAACAGATCGTTTATTTAGGAAATCAACAGATATTTATAGATTTTCATGTACATTATTATAGATTATTGTAAGCAAACAAACACAGTCTTCTGATTGGTGGTTTCTCGCTGAACGTTAATCTTTCATCTCTTTGTGGCCGTTTATTGAAGTTCAGATTATCTATCTGCCTACGCAAAGTCTGCTGTGATTGGTTGTTGAATCAGTCTTTGTTCTTATTTTTCTCATGACCAATATTGGGGACGTAAACATTGACGCAAATTACTGTCTACCAATTTTTGGCTAGCAGCCAGCTCTCACCACAAACCTTGATAGTTTAATCAGCGTTCAAATACATCTCCAACCGTTGAAGAGTTGAAAGTTCAGACTAATATATCACAGTTTCCCAACATTATCAGAAATGCATAATAATTTAATAGTAGTAAAGACTCTTGAACTAGTAATGACGGAAGACTCTGAAAGGCTTCTTTGTCACTTGCAACTACCTACTCGACTAAGTTCAGCTACAATTATTACCTGTTTTAACTTTCTATATGTTATAACACTTATCATTTGCTGACTGTGCGGAAACAATTTCAGTTTTTGTGATAGGAACATGTTGATCGTTTGCACCTATCGTAGTGTCATCCAAACATTAAGCCAAGGGAAATTTTACCGCCAAAATTTTAAGAAACTCTGATGCCAGTAGTATATAAGTGGTAATTAATAGCAAGTTGAATAGGTTCACTACTGATTACTTACCTGTAATACCGCAGTACATACTTTTGAACCTCCGAGAGAATAAACATCTTTACTTATTTAGAAAACAATATTCAGTCAATGAACTTGAATAAGTATAAAAAGAAAGCCAAAAACAGTAACTGGAACTTCAGGATTTATTCCACTACTAGCGACTCTTCAATGAAATTTAGCAAAAATATTTCTGAGATATTTACAGATTTCATCAGAAAAATCAAGAAAAACTAGTCATGATGGATCGGTGCTTTATGCGCGGCCCCATCACCTCATCATGTTTCTGTGGTACAAACATTCCCTTATATCTTTTTAGTGAACGCTACGTTATATATATATATATATATATATATATATATAAAGCTTGGTTTACTGATAATGGTTTGATGGCTATAGACTTTTCCTTTTAATTGTCTTTGGCGTTCTCGGTCAATAATGCAAACAGTTTAGCTTTGTATTGGGCATTTTTCAATGACAAAAATGTACGCAAAATTATTTTTTATTTGATATTTCCTATATAAGCTTGATCAGTGTTTTAACTCACACTTTAAAAGTCTGCGAACATGGTCCAAGGGAAATGTCTACGCAAACCTTCTCCTAGTTTTTCTTATGATTAAATTTATACCATTTAAACATAGCCTAATCGATTCAAATTATTAAACACGAACCACCGAATACTGAATACAGGTACTCAATGTTTGAAAACGAATGCTTAAATGTTATCAAACTTTATATACAACTGTCATCTGTGGGACACATAGTACTACTACCTTACTATTTACAAATTTTTTGTTAAACAGCAGTTAACATAATTTATTCAGTGTAAAGTTAGAATCATTAAAAGACGAACAACTTTCAATAGAATTATAATCCAAAAACGAGGTAACCTTAATAGGACTACTCCTAATGCAGCTACATGTGAATGATGACATACCACTTCCATAACAAGTCACCGTAATATTGTAAAAAATCTAATAATTCTTAGGGTTGTTCAACCACTTTATTGTCATTAAAATGAAGCGATGTATCTATCTTCATTGTGTTTGATCACTTCACTGGTGGCAGAATGCCATCATGATTCCCAATTCAAAAAAGTTTATTTCTCATCAAATCCTGTTGTTGGATAGTTAACCAATTGATTTCAGAATTACACTGTATTCTAGTTGTAAAGAATGTGGATTCTAGTGTCATGGTAAATGAAAGTGAATGTACCTTCTTCTTAGAAGCCATTGTTTTACAGATTTCTTGATCGTGCAATAACTTGTGGCTAACGACTAAAAATCAACTTATCTTGAATTCCGTAATTAATTTTCACCCCTCTTTCAAAAATTGGATGCCTTGTTACTAACATCTATTAGTTCATTATTTGGATGACTTTTAACCTCTTAATTTCACTTCCCCTCCTTATAGATAAAACTGATTAGCTAAAATAACCACTTGATTGGTAAACTTTTGATGTAAAAAACCATACATTAGTGTAGTGTCGATGATGAGGAACTAACTGGAAAGGAATATATTTCTTCGCTCAATCTGTTGTTTTTTCTGAATGAGATTTGTTTTAGTATAAATAATCTTTTCTTCCATATACCTCAAACCACAATCATAAACCTTATGTTCATACAAGTCTTCTAGAATAAGTGTATTCAGATATGATGGAGAAGATTTGTGGCTCAGGTGGATGATATTGATGTGGTTGTGTTCTCTGAGCTGGATGGTTTATTGGCGAGGCTTTCACTGCCCTTCCAGGCAACATCTTCAGCTCATACTTCAATTTGAAGTGAGCTTTTAGATTTCTCTACGAGTTTATTACCAATCGATAAGAAAGAAATCTCACACACAAAAGGTGAAACTCCAGGTTAAGGAAACAATCAGTACCAATGCAAGTAGACTAGAGGATGTGAAAACGCACAAAACAACCAATCCCGTTCCAGGTCATCAGGAGAGATGACTAATAAACTCATGGAGAAATCTAAAAGCTCACTTCAAATTGAAGTATGAACTGGAGATGTTACCTATTAGGGCAGTGAAAGCCTCGCAAATGAACCATCCAGCTCAAAGAACACAACTACATCAAAATAAGTGTATTTAGACATGACAAATTTTTCTGTAGTAATATGGTTTAATGGGTTGCCTTTAAACCAATCAAATTTGTAAATAATTGTGTTTTACTTCAACAGGATACTTTCATTAGAAGGCGAAAATGAACGTCTGAAATCTCAGATATATTCTCCTCGTCAAAACGAATATGATATCAATCAAAATAATTATAGGTCGTTGAAAAATCTTCCAACCACTTCGAAAACGTAAGTTTTGTATTTGTGCGTTTGAAAAGTTTTACTGAAATTTCGAATGTGATTAGAGTAATTTGCATCAAATGTTTAGGTAATAACCTAAGAAACACAGTACTGTGAGATCTTCAAAACAGTCACATAAAGTGATGCTGACGTGCTTTTTTGAGTTAATTAAAGTAGATGTTCGTTTGAGTAATGTAGAGACTACATATTGACTGGATGAGATAATTAAAATATTGTGATTAGGTTGTTTAGTGAAATGAATCAAAATCAAATTTGGTGGCAGAGATTTACTTATTGTTTAAAAAAACTCAAATATGCTCGCTGTCATTCGATTATCTCCTCTCCTTAGGATTTCTGCTTACTTCGATTAGCAATCATAAAGTACAACAAAGTGAACCAATGTTCAACTGTTTGAAAGAGAGTAACTGTTGTTTTAACAGATACACTATTGGTGTTAATGTTACTATCCAAAAAGATGTCCTATTAAACTTTATTTTCTTGCCTGCGAATTGCACATTGTTGTGTAATTATAGTTAAATTACTCCAAGTTGACCAATGACCTGTTGCGGTTCCAGTTAATTTCTACTCTTGATGAACAGTATCACGTCCTACCTATTTAAAATATAACTTTCAGTCGACCTTACTAAGTGATCGGAACTCTCGATTGTTGAGTGAAAGAAATATCCCAGTAAAAATTTACTTAAACGCACAAAGTTACATTAAAAAAGAAATGGATAGAATTATAACAAAAATAGCATTCAGTGAGAGAAAACTAAACAGAAAAACCAACTAAAAATCAGTAAAACTGATGATTTTCTGGTGATAAAGTGACAATAAATCAGCCACACTAGTTCATAATGTCTCATACCGTTGCCGGCTGTAACTACTGACTTATAATATCTTCAAGTTTGTAGTCAAACGACTTACACCCCCTTGAGATAGAAAGAATAAAATGTTACTTACTTCAAGGGACGTTCACAATTTCACAGATGCATATGAGAATACGTATGGTAGATGTATTTAATATACTGATCGCAAAGAATCTACCTCATGGGTGTATGAAATTTATCAGTAAATTCAAAGCTTATATTCACAGGCAGAAATCACATATTTTATGAATCACTGAAAGCTTTCGAGTTGAATACTTTTTCCATCATGTGAAAATAATTGCACTGACTAGTTAAACGTCATGTTATCTAGCTTTTAGGGCTAAATGAAAAGTTATTCTCTAATTTACAAGGAAGCTAGTCGTTTACCAGTCAGTCATAATGATGACACCTCTGAATGCACCACTGAGTGAAGAAAGCTTATGTCTGTGAAATAATTTAAGGTTTTTAGGGAAGATGAAATCGTCTACAGGAAATTTTCAAGAACCACTATGTCGAAACAAGAGTTCCCCGCTAACTGTGGGTAACTACGCGTCGAATATAAGAAAAGATATAATAATGTATGATATAACGTCCTAGCAGAGTTTGAATCGTTTCTTCTTGTCATATTAGTTATTGTGAACTTCAGATTTGAGTTTACCAACAGTTTTCTACTCCCTTTATTTAGCCTTAATTCTATAATTTTATGGAACATTAACAACTAATATCGTCATTGTCCTCAAATTTTTCTTCCTCCTTGATTTATTATTGCTTTTACGACCATTTTGTAATAAAAACCTGATCATTTTAAGACAGCAAGACACACATTGCTTTTGCTTGCATGAATACAGCAAATAAACGTCAATGTGAGATGTATACGTGTGTTAACCTATGTATTAGTAGGTACTATCTGATGAATAAAGTTTTGAACGTCGACCATTTTTAGTTAACTACATATCAACCACCTTGTAAACTGAATAAATAGTCTATAACTTCCCTGACTGTTACGCAAGGCATAAAAAATAAAAAATTCTGAAGGATCATAATTGGATGTGCACATCATTGATAATCCTTAGGTAAATAGGAAGTTCGTGAATAATGGAATGAAACATTTCAATCAATTTGTTTTCTTTATTCTACCTAGAAGTATCTAGTATCAAGGTTTTCTTATTTGTGTCACTTATTTTCGGAAAAAGAGGGTGATCACATTATGCAATGAGTGACATTAGTCCAAAGTCTAAAATTTCTTTCAATGCTGTGTTAAGAAGTAAACACTACTTTGGCAAGTTTTGTCGTTGATTACTAGAACAAAAGTCACCTCATTAAATGAAGAATTATTACCAGACTTACTGCAAATTATCCGGTATGATAGACATTCCTACTTAGTGACATTTTACCTCAAAAACAACTAAGCTTGACTGATAGAATTCAGTCTGCACCAAACAAAGGACTAGATGCATGCTACTAGTTACTTACTACCTAGTGTCCAATCAAAGCAACTAAACTTCTGCTGAATTATGACAATTCTAAATTATTTGGATTACTATTATGAAGAGACTTTCTATCACTATGTGCATTTCACCTTTTTCATTAATACAAGGTATACTGAACTCGATATTGGACCATTGTCATTATCAGCTCCAGCAGAACTAACACCTTCTATGCTAACCGGTGTAAGTCCATTAAGTCCGAACGATCCAATTCAACGATACAGGCAACAAATTTTGGTAATGCGCTTCAACGAGTTATTTTCATTGCATCGAATTGAAGCAATGGGTTTACTAAGACGTTACATAGATGACTATGAAGCAAATCAGAAAATCATATTCTATGCTGTTCTGGTTAGTTTTCATTGTTGTTTTTTTCGATTATTCTTTCATACATATGAAGTAGCTTAGCATAAATGAGACTTAATTCTACACAATACTTTAAACGTTGAAAAGATCAAGACATTTAATTTGATCAAAACAAGAAAATCCCTTTACAGGTCAGGGGTGGTTAAAAGATAAGATTCTAGATCTTTAAAAAGGTGGAAAATGCCACAGTTTCCTCAAAAATTAACCACACTTCTGTGAAGTTGTCTGCAATTTATAACAACGATTAAATAAAGTTTATTTCATTGTCAAGCATTATATTCTGTTTGCTTTTTCTGCCAGAAAATGAGCTGAACAATTATGTCCAGCATTTGGGAGAATTTTTAAAACTATATTAATGATTTCCTTCCTCCACTTTTTTTAAGAATGCTAAACAGAGCAACTTCCTCAGGTTTGTACTTAATTCGTACTTCTAAGTCGCCATAGTCGGTAAATATACAATATACTATAATGCATATATTGAAACAAACACAAAAAACAACAGTTGATAAAGCAAACAATGAACTGTCTTCCTCTAAGATTATTTCTGTTTCAGCATTTTGAGCTCACTCAGTGAAAATAATAAATACTTTGCCACGCTTCACCTATCTTGACTCTACAATTAGTACTTGATGATTATTTTAGTAATTGAAAAATGATGATGATAATGATAATTATAGAAGTCAATCTGAACGAAGAAAATTCTTTTCAATAATTTCTCTTCAGGTTCTTACAATTATAAAATATAATATTTGTCGTCGTTACAATAATGATAGCCAGTTATGCGGCGGATACATTTTTACGTAGGATAACAGATTAGTTATGGGGTGTCAAAATAAATAGTCGTATTTGTGTGACAAACGTGCTAGGCTGAAATCGATTACAAAATATTGTAAAATGGGAGACAATGGTAGTGATTAGTCATAATAGATTCGTAGAATGTGGGGTAGGAAAAATTGACAAGTCAGTTCAAGGTTATAAAAAGTGTCAGGTGGGTGAGTGGCTATTACAAGGTAGTATGTATTAAAGAGGAGATAGGAAGACTGCAATGAGAGGTTCATAATGAAATAAGCAATGTGTGCAATGAAACGGGTGGAGGCATATATTGAGAAAAGAGATAATATCACTAATAATAAGTTCGGATAGTATAAACGGAAATTCGATCGTATGGAGAGAGAATGTTTGAATGAAGGGTGTAAATTATGATGAATAATAATAATTGTAATAATAGGCAAAGAAAGAAAAAAACCAAGAGGTTTAAGGGGAAGAAGCACTCTTGGTGAGAAGAAGAATCATCAATCCAAGTTCGATCACGGTAGGAACAGCGTCTGGACGTGTTCTTTTTGGATACAAAGTTCAGGTTTAGTCGGTCTTATTGCACCAGCTTCAGCTATGTGTAGCAGACGTAAGCGAACTGTACGTGATAACAACTTCGGAATTCGGTATATAACCGTGAAGGCTGTGTTGGCATAGATGCGATGTCCAGTATCGACCAAGTGTGACAGGATCGAGTCTTTTATGCACTTCTACGTAAAAAATATATCCGCGACATAACTGGACATTATTGTAACGACAGCAAATATTATATTTTATAATTGCAGGGACCTAAAGAGAAATTATTGAAAAGAATATTCTTCGTCCAGATTGACTTTTAATTAATGATACGGGTATATTTCACACTATTAAATCTTATAATTATAGAACAAGATTTAAGCAAATACGTATTTTCAGTAAATTCTCATCAGGCTTTACATTTACGTAATGACGAAATATTAGTCATAGGCATTTGAATAAATGTGGTCAGTACATAAATAGGATCAGAGTTCAAACATGTAAATTAATGGATAACAATCTAGGTAATCATAATAATAATAATAATAAGGATAGATTCGTTCAACTGTTTATATAATCTAGGCAACGGTGAGTGGATAGGTAGAATGTGCATACTAGTAAGGGTAGAGGGGAAAATAACTACTGTCACATTGCGATTAGATAATATCATTATTATTTTGTTCCCTTGGGTTCCTAGTGGAACACAGGGCTTCAACTGCACGTCTCCACTTGCTTCTGTCTTCTGCTGTGCTTTTCAGTTGCATCCATGTTATTCTATACTGTTTCAACTCCTCTTCACATGATCTCCTCCATATCACCCTTGGACGTCCCACTCGCCCCTTCCCTTTCGGGTTCCACTCGAGCACTGGCCTGACGCGCGATGTCACCCAACGGCCTCCTCAGCGAGTGTCCAATCCATCTCCACTTTCTCCTGCATATTTGTTGGGCGATTGGTTCTTGTTTTGTTTGTTCCCACAGTTTCTTGTTGGTGGTTCTTTCCGGCCATCTGATCTTCAGTATAGAGCGAAGACAGTTGTTGATAAAGGTCTGCAGACTGTTGGAAATATTCTTTGTGACCCTCCGAGTTCCTGATCCGTATAGAAGAACTGACTGACTTGACGTTTGTATTGAAAATCCGAATTTTGTTGTTGATGTTGAGTGACGAAGATTTCCAGATTGGTTTCAGGTTGATGAATGTGTTTCTCGCCTTCCCGATTCTCGATTTGACATTCTCGTCCGTTCCTCCTGTGGTTGAGACAATGCTCCCTAGATAAGTGAATGAAGTAACCTCTTTCAAATTCCTCCCGTTGATGGTGATTGGCGCTGGATGTTGCTGCTGTTGTTGTTGTTGGTTGGTTATTTTCATAACCTCCGTCTTGTCTATGTTCACCTGGAGTCCTGTCTTTGCTGCTTCTTCGACCAGTTTGTCGGTTTTCGCTTGTAAGTCTTCGATTTTGTGTGACATCTAACATAAATCACCCGCGATAATATAGTAACAATAAATTGTTACACAGAATAAAATGTACAACTAAAGCACAGCATGATACTGATAATACAGTTAGCATTACAAATAAAATAAAAATATAATAAGATAATATTTACAGTTATCCGGTGTCACCAGGAGAGATAACTATTTTAGGTTTGGGGCGAAGGCCAAGGGGGGAGAGGGACTGAACTAACTTCTTCTGAACACAGAGATTGTGTTGGAAAATCTTTATTTTAGTGACCACTGCAGTCTTTAATTGACTAACTTTAGCATTGTTATTGACTGCTTGAATCACAAACCTCACAAGTAATCTAATGCGCTTGAAAGGACTCTGAAAATCCATAGAAAATTAACAGACATTCAACGTACTGTTTATTTCAATTTAGCTGTAAAAATTGAGCAACTAAAGTGACATCTGTTTTTCACTAACGTTCAATTGCTGCATGATATACTACCAAAGTACCTCAGTGATCAGTGTCTAGATTAACTGAAATAGTAAAAAAAAGAAAAGGTATACGTGTCCCTTCCGCGTATAATTTTTTGTGTTTTATTTTGTCTTCTTTCTACAACATTGAATTATGCAATGTAGCAAACACTCAAGTGCCTTTTTGTATATTCCCATCGAAAAATTTATTACTCCTCCTTTGTTTTAGTTCGTTGCTGAATCTTTTCTATAATTTGTCATTTACAACCAATAATATCGACCCAGTATAACTTGTAATTTATACATTCAGAATAAGTTTCTTATGTCCTAGCTATTTTACCCTTATTGCTGTTGTTATAACTGTTGTTGATTTCACCGTTGTTATTATCGATAATGCTTATATTGAAAAAAATCATAATCTTATTTTAAGATTGCATTGAAGGTCATACTGGTTGCTTTGGCAACCTAAAGAATATGAATTTAAGTTGTAGAAATCATACTATATATATATATATATATATATATATATATAGTTATTTGGATTTGAAAAATAAACCCAAAGAGGAAAAACTGTAGGCTTGTCAGAAATCAGTGGGATTAGAAATCGTGGTTTATTTTTATTCACTCTGTATTCTTCTTCTTCTGATTATTATTCCCTTGGGTTCCGAGTGGAACATAGGGCTTCAACAACACATCTCCAACCTCTTCTATTCTCTGCTGTCCTCTTCATATGGCTCCACGATTGTCCACCACCTCTCATCTCCTTCTCGCTCGATCGCCCCCACGTCACCCTCGCACCGACGACCCACTCGTCGATTCCCATCGGAATTTCACTCCAGCTATGGTCTGCATTGAGCGCGATGTCATTCGACAACCTCCTCAACGTGTGCTCGATCCATCTTCATTTTCTCCTACATATTTGTTGAGCGATCGGCTCTTACTTGGTTGGTTTGTTCCCACCCAGAGTTTCCTGTTACTAATGCTTTCTAACCGGCCGTTTGATCTTCAGTATGGAGCCAGTGAAGGGGGTAGCTGTTGATAAAAGTCTGCAACGAAGTTTAAACGAAGTCTGCAAACTTTACTTGTGATTATGAATAGCGTATAAAGTGGTTTATTGAATGGGAAAATAGTTAAATAGACTGTAAAACTAATCGTCATCAGTAGAAAAATTCAGGAAAAGTAAACTGGGGCGATTGTGTACTTTCACAAAGTTACTTTTCCAGGTCATATCTAGTGATATAGGTATTCTAACACACTATATCAACTCTAACTGTGTATTCATTATTTTGATGCATTTTAGAATAATTCTGCTTAGCAGACAGATTATTATTGTCACCAGATTTATTTTACTTAGTTCTGAGACAATCTGGTTTACTCTGACTTTGTTCAGCCGATTCATTCAGCCCTTCTGTTCATTTTTTTTGTTTTTGTTACCTTCTGTCCAACGCTTCTCGACTGAGTGGCTGTAAAGATTAGAATCCTCATTATGAGACTTTTCAATACGTAGTTTTCACCGCTAAGGTAATTACTGGATGGAAATAAAATTTTTAACAGATTCTGTTTGTTACATATACTATAAATTTCTGTACAATATTCTAGAAACATCAAATTAATAAGCATCTTATTTTTAACGATTATTCCTTGTATGTGATGTGTACATAGACAACATTTCAGTTAGATGCACTAGGCTACATTACAGTTCGAATCAGCATAATACACCAACAGAGATTAAAATAATTTTTTAAGGTAACTTCCTCCATAATGTAGCCTAATATTTTGTGCTCTCTACGTAGAAACTCCTGATATCACTAAAGCGTAAGTCAGAAAGCCTGAATAAACGTTCATTAGCATTTTGTAGTGTGAAGATATAGAGTTCATCGGATTTTTGTAAATTAAACACGGAATTCTCTTCATCAGATAAACTGTAATAGGTAAACACGAATATTATCACTATGAACAACCATTTCACTGAGCTTTTTGTTATAACATAATGGCAAGTGGACGGGGTGGCGATGGGCTCCCCATTGGGTCCCATTTTGGCTGATTTCTTTCTAAGTAAGCTAGAAAATGGACCTTTGAACAACCTTATCAGTAAGTTCTCATTTTATTGCCGGTATGTGGATGACACCTTCATTCTTTGTGGTAATGATTCCGATAGCAGTAAAATAATTACTGAATTCAATGAAGTACATTCCGTTATGAAATTCACATGCGAAGAGGGATCCCAAGACAGAATTGTCTTCCTGGATGTCCTCTTTACAAGAAAGCTAGATGGTAGCATAAAAAGAAATTTGCATAGAAAAAGTACTTGGACATGACAATATACACATTTTCACAGCTTCGTTCTTATCAAGTACAAAAGAAATTTAGTGAAGACCCTCAGCCACAGAGTTAGAGCTATATGCTCAGAAGAGGTGACTGAAGATGAATTAAGCATTGTGTATGATACTTTGATCAAAAATAGCTATCCCGAAAAATTTATCAAGAAACACATGACAAGGAAAGCGGAAAAGGACTACTTACTATCTGTAAACAAGAAGCCACTTTATATACGACTACAATTGAAGGGCGATGTACCAAGTGAGATAATTACGAGGAAATTAAGAAAATCAGTTCAAAGAACTTTTAATGCTGGCGAACTACGCGTCTTCTTCTCTACACGACCGATGGTGCTACCTCAACTGAAAGATGAAGTACTAAGACTAGCTACTTCAAATTGCATCTACCAATTCAATTGCGCTTGTGGAGCAAGTTATATTGGCCGTTGCTCTAGGAACTTGATTTTTCGTGCTCTCCCGAGAACATTTCCCACTATGGCTAAGTAAAGGTGTAGTTAAAACCATAAACAGTTCGATATTAGACCATCTGGTGCAAACCGGCCACAAAGCCAGCGTAGAAGAATCCTTCTCTATAATATACCGGGTGCCTAATAAATTGCCAAAATCATCGAAGCACTGCATGCTCCAAACAGCAGAGGCTATTGCAATTCGCCTCAAACAACCAGTGCTCTGTGTTCAACAGAAGAAAGTCCAGCCCCTACTACTACCCTGGCCTTCAGTAGAGACTATAAATTCACGAATTTGTAGTATTATCTTTCCTAATTTTTCTGACATTCAGCTTATTTTATGTTGATGCTACTGAGCTGTAATCTATCAATATTATTGATTCAATGTTACTTAAACATTAATGTTGTTCATAACACTAATTCATTCATTCACTATTATGTATATATAACTGTAGAGCCTGATGATGAAGTTATCGAAAAGAGTACTCTTTGTTCAGTATCCATTCCTTTGAAAATTACAAATTAGTTGATTTAAAATCATGTTAATGAATAATAAATAAGATAAGAGGAATGATTAGATAATAATTTCTTCTAATTTGCCAGTGTTTTAAGCGGGAAATAAAAAATAATTCATAAACTAACCGAAGATATTCTTATATAAGTTGCTAGGCTTTGTAGCTGTTAAAGAGGTAGGCATACTGCGATCTGGTGACACTCACAATACATCACAAATCTCTCGAAGACATGAAACATTGATTTCCTATGGACACAATGATCGAAACCTGATCATCTGAGAAATCAAGTAGTAGGTACATACTCTTAATGGTTTCCAGAGCAGGCTATACAGTTGGTCACTACCTCAGGATTCCGATTGATCTCCTAGCAGATGTTCGTCTATGGTTAAATCTATCTTGAAATAAATGAAATACTCTGAGATGCTGAGATCTGTCAAACTTGTAAAGTGATATTATTTTGAAATAGGATGTAATTTTTTGTTATGTCTGTATTACTTAATTAGCACATCATGAATATTTATGTTTTCTTGATGTCAAGTTATTTCTGAAGGTTTTGGCGAAAAACATTTTAGACGAGCAGAAAAAGGTCATTCCTCATCGGGGCTATATTTTTCAAAAGTTGGAAATACCCTTAGGAATTTTACCCAGAGACGAATACTTAGAAGTTATTGTTGTTAGATAATTTTATTACATATTCCACCAATCATCTAGGTTTCTCTGTAGGAAAAATTGTCATTATAGTATGATACGCATCGATAACGTCATGTTTTAGATGGTTTACAAACTTCATTATTCTTGTCCTAAAATTCTTTTCACATTCTTTTTTCCCTGTACCGCAGGAGTCATTCACTGTGGCTAAATCACATTTTCGAACTTATCGAAATCGTGTACGCAAACAGATTGCAACAAATAATTTAATTACAACAGAAACACTAGATGAAATAGTTCAGTCATATATAAATATTCATGCTAGTCATTCAGTCGATATTCCAGTACTTGTGAAAGATGTTTGTCTAGCTATGGAACGTCGTGTCCCACGTATACGTCGTCCATCACATAATCTTGGTTTCGATGTCATTAAAGACTTTTTACATGAAACTTGTAAACTTGCTTGGGAATGTTCTGCACTAAGTCATCCACTTGATGTTTGTAGACCGGTTTGTGAAAATGAATTGATTGATGAAGTAAAGTAAGCAAAACAACTTTAAAATCTGTTTTCATTTCAATGTGGTTATCAATTTCGAATATTTAATATAATTCATTATTTACTGGATTACTAATTATTTTATTCTGTGTTAGTGTAACCAGATTAGAATTAACTCTATCAATACATTATCTTCTCACTAAATTGTACTCTTTCATGTTCATTTTAAAAAAGGAATCGAGACAATATGTAGTGTCATGAGGAGTTGACTTTTTTTTCGTGTTTCTCGTATACATGACATATGTGAAGGACTTTCGACAGATGCAATGAAGATTAGTTCAGCTTGTAAAACATCGTATCCATATTAGCATAATGCTTGTTTATTAGATCGCTGCTGTGTCTCAGGCCAACAGTGACTTACAAATAAAATCCACCATATCCAAAGCGGTTGTGACACTTTGAGAAATTAATGTTCAGTTACATAGACTTTAACGATTGTACTGAATAAATGTCAGGAAGAGTCAACTAGCAGGTATTCTTGGATCTTGGATCTAAGTCCTGTTACTGTTATCATTTTTCAGCAAGTCGTGTCTGTAGTCTTTAAGAGAAATGCATTGCCTACAAAATATAGAACTGCATTACTCACTGTCAAAGTTGTCGCCATCGCTACAAAATACTTTTCAGGTCACATTAGTAAAAATGTAGATTATAAAAATTTCAATAAAGTGATTTCAGTACTTTAATGCGAAATCCAAGAATAAAATACCTAAGTTCTTTATTAAACTGGGTAGACGGGACGAAGAGATAAGAATCCTGTTGATCTACGGAAGTAAGTATGAAGACAGATTGTTTGGAATTTACCCAACAGCATTATCCAAGTGTGTGACTGCTTATCACAGGAACAACTTTCTTCATAGCATTTTACCACGTTTTAATTTGTGGCTTTAGGATGTCGTTGTTATACACTGAAGATAGGAAGAGGTAAAAATTTTGTGACTACACATTTTTAAGTGTCATTAACTTTCAATGAAATGATAGTGAAAAACGTTACGACTTTGTATTCAGTGGTGAGTCAGTTGATAAGATTTTGAAAATTCATTTGATGGAGACACCTGGAAACTTTGTAAGCATTGTAAATGTAAAGTCATTGTTGGTTAGATATTGACCACTACTCATAGTTTAAATGTATCACAGGATTTCTCTTTATTCTAATTTTTTTTGAATACAAAACCTATAGGTATAGACGTAGTCACGATTCATCATATCCAACATTAGTTATTCATCATCACATATGGCCATGTTTAATGCAAGGTGAACGTGTACTTGTTAAAGGAGAAGTTTGTACTAGAGGAATACTTAACTCTTACGGCTTCGAAGTTATGGTAAGATCTTATTTTTTTTCAAGTGTATTACTAAGATACAAATTTTACATTATAATAAGATTTATTTGGAAGACGAATACGTAGACTGACATGCATAAGTTTATCTTTGCTGGTGAACACAGTGTACCTTAATCATACTTCAGTGATGGAATAAAGTTTTATAATAGTTGAGTAGAAATGTATATATACAGACGATACAGACGACAGCATAAATATAAACTGTAAAGGGTCCCCGCTTATCAGTGGATTTCTTCTCAGTATGGTGAATAGATACTAGCAGATATTTCACAATGTACAACGCTTAGATATCATCCGCGTAACATTATCATTGCAGAATATGAAGCGATAATTGCGAATTAATTGTTTCTGTTTTCAATAGTTCGATGAAATCCAGTGAAAACAGACAAATTACACAAAGACAAAACACCAAAGTAGTCCCGAAAATTGAGTAAGATGAAGTTTCATTCATTACTCATTAGGTAAAAACCAGTGTTATGCCTCTGATCCTTAACGGTGACTAAATTCTACCAGTCGAGTCTACAATGTAGTCAGCAAGATGGATGACTAATATTGTGGTGATATATTAATTGATATTAGGTGTTTGGAGGATATCGGTAGAAGGCCCTGAACCTAGGTTTCATGAGATTAGTTCAGTTTTCCAACCACTGTATCTGCTTAGAATGCATGAACTGCAGTTACATTATAATTGATGTGAAAATAAAATTATTCCGAAAGAATATGCAGAGACTACGTATCTGTTTGCAAGCTTTTACTCTGAGAAAATAATGAAAAATTGATCCACTATGATAGAGATAGCTGGATAAAAATTCTGATCATAAATGCTTATACCACGAACTGGATAAGCACAGCAAATAAAAATCAAACGAAGCTACTGTAGTCCCATTATTTTTCTAACTGGTATAGTTATGAAAGTGAAAATAAGTCATAAAATCTTCCCAATCTGTGTGTTTTTGCGTGTTACGCCCATGGAACAATCTTATCAGTTAAACTTCTGCTATGAACTACTTGTACTTTTAAACTCCTTTCTTAGTAGTATGAAGCAGTGAGTTCACTGTTGGTTTGTTTAAACTATCCTCTTATGCTACTAAAAGGTGGCAAAAAAATGAAATGATACCTATTTAAACTACCGTCTTATAATATGCAAAATAGAATTATAGTCATGAGACATATAAAAGTTGTGAATAAAGTACACTTCATTAAATCTGAAAAAAAACAGAAAAAGAAATGATAAATTTTACAATACTAAACTAAATTTTCTGTTTAAGTATAAATATTTCCTTAAAAACTATCATTACTTATTCAGCCAAAATCAGTCATTGAATGGCTGAGATGCCATGAAAAACTGATTTACTCTGACTTACGATAATCATATGACTGTCTGCTTTTCTTGGTGGAAACTACCTCCAAAATTATTCACATCCCAGATACCACCATAATGAACAGTTCTATACATTGCACCTACTACAAAATGCATTTACTGTTGTCTTGCGACTGTTATATATAATCAACCAGCTATACAAATACGTCAAAAAGTTAAACTTTTTAAAAATTAAATTAAGAGTTTTAAGTATCTATTGTATTTTGTGAACTATAATTGTTCTTGCAGTAATACGACGTTAACAATATGTAGCAAGTGACCTTTATACCCTTCGTGAAGAATTTCTGTCCCTGTTAATATTGTAATCTCATAAATGAGGTTTCAGATGGACTTTTTCATTTCATTTAGATCTATAGAACCGAAAGCTTTGTTGTGTATGATGAGATACCCTTCGTAGACGACTAGACAAGGTGTCTATTCTGTTAGAATTTTTAAGTATGCTGAAAGCGTTTTGATTATACAATAACAGGAATTTTAACTCATCTCAACTAGTTCTGTTCATCTGAAAATAGAACAGACCCTTTCTCTTTCAGTGTTTTCATTTAAAACTTCTTTTATGTTGTAATAGAGACGACTTCAGACCGTGAACAGATTTAGAGAATACTTGACGATAAGTAAGAGATTTAATTCAAAACCATCTTCCTGAATGCTTCAAACGCTTTGAAATTAGTTTTAAACCTTTACAAAATAATTCAGTCTACAGTAAAACTGTGGATGAAATTAAGCCAAATACCATCCAATGATTAACTGAAAATCGTTATAACTAACTCATGTGATGTTGTGTCATTTCCACCCCTTCTATTTACAAAGTCATCGAACGTTTTGTGTGATAAAACTCACGGATTACTTCTCATAAGTTGGTCAGATAATCAAATTATTAGAAAATCACTACTTTTGAATGCGTTGTGTTAAAATTAATCATCTCTATTTCGATATAGTGTAACAACAGAAGACAAGGGTCAGGCAACAGATCGTTTATTAAGGAAAATCAACACATATTTATAGATTTTAATGTACCTTATTGTAGATTATTGTTAGTAGAAAATACAGTCTTTTGATTGGTTGTTTCTCACAGAAAGTTAACCTTGCATCTCTTTGTGGCTGTGTCAGATCATCCATATGCTAACTGTATCCGCCTACGCAAAGCCTTTGTCCTCATTTTCTCACCACCAATATTGGGGACATAAACATTGACGTCAATTACTGTCTATCAACTTTGGCTAGCAGCCAGCTCTCACCACAATAGTACGTCATGAACCGCCTAATATATATATATATATATGAACCTTCTGCTTATTGAATTTATGAATTTGAACCTGTTAGCAGATTAGGTTTGCGTGTGAATGCTAGCATAATAATTTCGATCCTATCTTAATTAAATAAGGTACATTCTACTAGTAGAATTCAGGATCCCATTGATTCTTCCAAGTTGAATATAGAAAACAACCAAAACTTACTGAGGCTGAAGTAGTTGGAGATAATTTGTTGACAATAATGACTAAAACTCCTTGAATAGAATGTAGCAGTACAGTGACCTGTCCATTTGTATTCTGATATGCTAAAGATGTGTGGAACACGTTCTAGTCACAGCAACTTAAACCGTACTAATCAGTCATGAATTTCTTAAAAGGCATTTCTAACTCCACACTGTTAAACACAGACATTTTATTCTTGACTAACCAACATAATGATGCAATTACTATCCCATCCATCAAACAGAAGCTAACAGACTGGAAAAATCCTTTTTTAAGCAATAATTGTAATTATCACTTGGGGGGGGTAATAGTGAAAATACCGTGGGTTTGTTTTCATTATTTCATCAACTAAATATAAACTGGTGCCCATACACTAAGGAAATTTAGGAAAACTGTTTTATTTACTTTATTATTTTTCAGTCATCTGATGGTCGAAAAGTAGCAGACCGTTATCGAAGTCGTGTATGCTCACGTTCATGTTCACCAACACGTCCAACTACATCACCAGGTAAGGAAGTAAAGAACAATCACTCTTTGTTCATTGAATCTCATTGTCTTGAAAGTTAAATTTTCTATCATGAGTATTAAATACTCTTAATTGAGTTGATGTAGGCCTCTTTTTTTAAATCATCATATTACTGTCAAATTGTGTTTATCATCTCCATTTAAATATAACTCAGGTAACTACAAATTCCATGCAAGTAAAGGTATTCATTATTAAAATCAACACTGGTGTGTAAACCACTCAACATCAAGGATGACGGAGTTGTTGGATTTTTTTTACAAAATTTATTTTGTTAGGAGCAGATTTTTATTAGGTTTCTAAATTTGGGACATAAGGGCAATTTTTAATTCTATATTGAATGCACCTTTAATGTCAACTTTTTCAGTTTATACACATCAGTACATGAATAAATCAACTTACAAGTTACTTAGTATGGCTTGTAGTGCAAGCTAAACCTCAGGTTTCCGGCTAGTAACATGAATGTATCTGTATTTTAGTGAGTTACTGTGTACCTAGTGCAACGTAAACACAAAATTTATCAACTGAAAAATCTGTACCTATTATTCACTAAACTATTCAGTCATGATAGTTTATATTACCAAAACAGATAAGTCAGTATTTCTAAAACAAAATCTGAAGTAAGTTAGACCTTTGAAATTGGTGGAATATGATGGATGTACCACGGTTGTGTGATGACTTCTAGGTAAGAAATTGGAAAATTATTCAGTGAAATGGTCTAATTTCAGTTTTCTTCAAGAATGTATTCACCGCAAAATAGCGTATATCATGTGCCCTAAAATTTGTGACAAACCGAAACGACGTCATTTTACTAAGAATTTTTCATCGAATTATGTTAAGATTATTAGCAAATAAATGTTAAAGCCTTTGACTTATAGATATGGTATCTTTTTCCTTCAAAAGGTATCCGAAGTAGTCCAAAGATAGCCGTTATAATATTCACGAATGCGATTCTAAGTGCGAAACCTCTAAGCCACTATATTTCGATTGTCTTCTTGAGGCTTCATATATATCCTAGTAATAATAGCTAGAAAAATGGTTGGTACATCTTGATTTTTACTACAAGCTTTCATAGCCATTTTAGTCACTTTTGATACTGAAGTCATTAGTGGTTGAATAGTCGAAAGTCGTCCATCTGTAGGTTAATTGGTTGTCTGTACTTATCTGATGACAATGGGGCTAAAAGCAGACAGTCAGTTTAGACAGTCTTAGCCGCAGTTTCAACATAAACTGCAGAAAACCGCATAATTTTAAGATTTCTGTCAGTGTCTTTAGTCGCCTAGTTTAAGCTTTCTCTCCAACTATCAAAGTTGACTACGATGCAATATTAATGACTTCGGTAATCTTTGAGTGTTTCCTTCAGATATTCACCAATTGAAGTTTAAATTTTACATTCTGTACACCTTTCAGATAAAAACCACATAGTATTCGCATGTAATTAGTGAAGTCAAAGATTTGCATTTTTAACCCTTAGACTGAATGTCAAAAATATTGAATATTAATGAGATAAAAAAGAATTAAGTATGTGTTTCAGTATCAGTAGTTATTGTTTTTGTTGTCGCATGCATATTAACATTGTAGATAGTTATAGAGGAAAGTAATTACTCACATAAGTAGTAAGGTGACAACTTGTTATAAAGCCGCATACAAATAGACAAATGATAAATAGCCAACTCGATATAAAATGAATTTATAAAGCAGAAAGCAAACTGTCATCTTTTCAGTGTACCTCTTCCCTTTTAAAATTCATTAAATTCGTATGAAGTAATCATCTGTTTTGCTATTATACACTGTTGTGAGATTATAACTTCCCTATATTAACTCTAATTGTACGCTTATAAAACTAAGTCACGTACGCATATTATACGACCACAGAAACATACATATGCTTGTCGTATATTCCCCATTGTATTATTGAAGATTGCTTTTCGGTTGTTATATATATTTTGTGCGATTACACACTTTTATGTTCATCTCGAGCTCTTCGAAATTTGATTTCGTTAACAATGCATCTTTTCAAGTTTTCACTTGTGCTTCTTAATGCAACGTTGTTTGTATCTAGTCGTGTACAGTGTTTAGCACATCATAGAACGTGAAAACGTGTATATGCTATAGTATTATAATCGGAATCATTTTTATTACTCCATAAGATCAGTTTCATAGTACTAATAATTGGTAAATAGATTGTTGTATTCTCTCATTATTATTGTTCCCTTGGGTTCCTAGTGGAACATAGGGCTTCAACTGCACGTCTCCACTTGTTTCTGTCTTCTGCTGTACTTTTAACCTGCATCCATGTTAGTCCATACTGTTTCAACTCTTCTTCACACGATCTCCTCCATGTCACCCTTGGAAGTCCCACTCGTCACTTCCCTTTCGGGTTCCACTCGAGGGCCTAACGCGCGATTTTGCCCAGCGGCCTCCTCAGCGAGTGTCCAATCCATCTCCAATTTCTCCTGCATATTTGTTGGGCGATTGGTTCTTGTTTTGTTTCTTCCCATAGTTCCTTGTTGGTGATTCTTTCCGGTCATCTGATCTTGAGTATAGAACGAAGACAGCTGTTGGTAAAGGTCTCCAACCTGTTGGAAATATTCTTTGTGACCCGAAAAATGTTTCTGATCCGTATAGAAGAACTGACTTAACGTTTGTATTGAAAATCCGAATTTTGTTGTTGATGCAGGCTGAGTGACGAAGATTTCCAGATTTGTTTCAGCTTGATGAATGTGTTTCTTGCCTTCCCGATTCTCGATTTGACATCCTCGTCCGTTCCTCCTGTAGTTGAGACACTGCTCCCTATATAAGTGAAGTGAATGAAGTAACCTCTTTCAAATCCTCTCCGTTGATGGTGATTGGCGTTGGATGTTGTTGGTTGGTTATTTTCATAACCTCCGTCTTGTCTATGTTCACCTGCAGTCCTGTCTTGGCTGCTTCTTCGACCAGTTTGTCGGTTTTCGCTTGTAAGTCTTCGATTTTGTGTGACATCAAACATAAATCATCATCATAGTACGTATTATTCATATAATCTTTTGACTTCTTTCTTTCTTGTTGAAAATCACAATTTCTTATGTTTCAATAAATTGTATACTTAGTGATTCCACTGTTGCTCTTATTTTTCAGGTAATTTGTATTTGTAAGGAATGAATTCTATGGAGTGGAACAATTTAGGCATATTATTTAGTTTTCAAGAGTATGTTTCTAGAGGATTGGTGTGTTTTTCAAGTTTGATATCGTGAAAATGAGTTTCTGCTTGGAATTTTGATGAGTGATTGTAACATCCTTAGTAATCATTAAAAGCTTTAACTTTCTTACTCAAGATGATAAGTACTCGTGTTTTATTTGTCCACGATAAGGACTAGTGTCCTAAGAATTCGTACTTTAATCAAACCACTCAGGTTTTTTATTGTGATCCACTATGTAAATTCTACATCATTCTACTGTGAAAAGTATTAAATAAGCAAACGATATAAGTTTTTCACTGAGTTAACGTATTCAAAGGCATTGTGCTGATGAATCAGTAGCCTAACTGAAGTCATTACCATTTTGGTAGGGTCAGACAAAAGGGTGTTGGGTTCGAACGCCGATGGTGCGTACTATTGAAGAGTTCCAACCTAGAACGAAACATCTTTCCTGTACTCCATGGTTTCCTAATGATTCTCTAACTGATTTCAGCTCATGACCACTCCTGTGACCAATCAAATCTCTGTAAGCCGACACTTGAAAAATATTTTTCTTGGTTTGTATCCACTGACCTTAAATGGTGATCTTAACTGCTTCTGTCGCTTCAACTTTTTGTCGTAATACGTAGGTTCTCAGATATTTTGGCTAATATATCCCGACTGCATTATCATGATGTAAAACCTCGACTCAGTGGTCATCAATGAACTAAAATGGAATCAGTTCAAGATAGCGTGTAGAAAATGAACTCAATTTTTTTTACCCCGTTCACGAACATGTTTCTTATGTTCCCGACTGTCGGATACACTTGATGTTTCACAGCTGATTATACTATCTAGTTGCCCAAACTGATGGGGAGAAGTATTCCAACTCAAGACCAGCTGACTGGAATATTATTATTATTCTCTTGGGTTCCGAGTGGAAAATAGGGCTTCAACAACACATCTCCAACTTCTTCTATTCTCTGCTGTCCTCTTCATATGGCTCCACGATTGTCCACCACCTCTCATCTCCTCCTCATACCGACGACCCACTCGTCGATTCCCATCTGAATTTCACTCCAGCTATGGTCTGCATTGAGCGCGATGTCATTCGACAACCTCCTCAACGTGTGCTCGATCCATCTCCATTTTCTCCTTCATATTTGTTGAGCGATCGGCTCCTACTTGGTTGGTTTGTTCCCACCCAGAGTTTCCTGTTACTAATGCTTTCTAACCGGCCGTTTGATCTTCAGTATGGAGCCAGCGAAGGGGGCAGCTGTTGATAAAAGTCTGCAACCTGTTGGAAATGCTTTTCGTGACACGCAGTGCAAGTTTCTGACCCACATAGAAGTACTAACTGACTTCACATTTTTGTTGAAAATCGGAATCTTGTTCTTTATGATGACTGAGTGCAGATTTCCAAACTGGTGTCAGGTTGATGAAGGCGTATCTTGCCTTTCCGATTCTGACTGGCTTTGACATCTTCAGCCTGGAGATGAAAAGATGCTTGTCGCCTAGATAAGTGAAGGAAGTAAACTCTGTCAAATCTCTGCCGTTGATGGTGATTGGTACTAGTTGTTATCTCCAACACATCCGTCTTCTCTATGTTCACCTGCAGTCTTGTCTTTGCTATCAAGCTCTTCTGCCAGTTTGTTGGTTTTCGTCTGCAAGTCTTTGAGTTCATGTGACATTAAACACAAATCATCCACACGCGAAACATAGATCTCCTAGAGTCTTCTTATCGGTCCAGCGTATTCCTGTCTCCTCGCTCCCATGTACAGCCTGACACATAACCACTGGTGATTACAGGCAGCCAGCCTTGTGTGACTCTGTATGCACTTCGAACACCTCGCTGAGTTTCGCGTTGTGGATCACCTGACACGTGGCACTGTCACATAGCTAGCTGTTGAATGAGGTTGATAAAGATTTGGGCACTGCACACTGTTGTGTCGAAGCAGTTCCCAAATTACTTCTCGGTCAAAGCTGACGAAGGCATTTTCGAAGTCGCTAAAATTGAAGCAGAGATTTGACTGCCATTCTATGCTTTGTTCTGTGATGACGAAGCGTAGAACTGCAATCTGATCAGCACATGATTTGCCTTTCCTGAATCCAGCTTGTTTTGCGTGGGGGGGGAGGCGGAGTTTTGCATCCAGTACATCTTTTATTCTCTAAAGGATGATGAGAATTAGAATTTTACTTGGCGTGGACAAGAGCATTATTCTACGCCAGTTCTTGCAGAGAGAGGCCTAAGTCGCCCTTCTTTAGTAGCTTGACAAGGTTGCCATCCTTTCTTCCAAACCTTTTGCAATAATGGCGTAAGAACATCTGCCGCAGTCTCTGGGTCCGTTTTCAGTGCTTCGGGGTGGGGGAATTCTTTCTGCCTTCCCGACTGGACTTCAGTAGCTTGATCGCATTCAGAATTTCTGCTTTCGTTAGAGGATTGGTGCCCACTGGCAGGCACTTGTGTGCGTGCTGTTGGTATTTGTGGGGGAGTTGTAGGTGATGGCCGATTCAATAGTCCTTTTGCCGGATAGAGAACTGATTATCTCATATAATGTCCTGAGGTGTCTTGTACCTACGGACTGCCTGTTCAGCTTCAGTTTCCAGTGTTTCGTAGAATTGTCGTTTGTCTTTTCTAGTACTCTTCTTTACTCCTTTATTCAGTGAGATGTATATTGAACTCAGCTTCTCCTACCACTGTCCATCTTTACATTGGTTCATTATCTGTTTCACCATTCCTCTCTCTTCTATTAGCTTCCAGGTATCCATTGAGAGCTGTTCCTTTTTTGTGTCTTCTTTCATCCTAAAATAGTTGTACACGTTCCTTTGAACATCACCTTCAGAGAGTTCATATATTTTTCCTCACAGGTTTCCTCAGTGATGCCGCGTAGTGTCTCCGACTTTACTCTGATCTGATCTGTAGGGAAGGTGTCCCTTGTAGTTTTGTCCCCTGACTGGAAGACATATACTTATGCAAATAAGCCACATCTCCACATACTAAAATGTTTAACTTCCTAGTTGTCCTTTTACTGTGTTATTAAGTTCCTATCCTGCCTTTTGTCAATCTCTTCGAAAGTATGCCAACTTCATTTCGATACTTTCTCCCAACACACTCTGTACTGTTGTATTTAGTCGTATGTCAACAATTTGTCACTGAATAGATTCCACTCACGAAGAATTTAATTCCTTTTCAATCCTGTTATCCTTTCCTAATTTGTAATCAATAACGAGTTGTCGCCCATTGTTCCTCTCTATTCATATACCAAACAAATATTCAATATAATAATTTCTGACTTTTAAAATGCTGATTGCATCTATTTATTGTATATCTCTAGGTCAAACGAAGACTGATAGAGGCTAATATTTAGTGAGTTTGTGTTTCTATAGTAGTGAAAAAAAATGAAAAGACAGAAGAAATCGTCTTTTTCAGTTTTATGTTTAAAAAGAAGCCTACTGCCTTATTTGTTGTTTAACTGCTTTTAGTTGCTTCTATTTTCGTTTGAATAATTACACGCTTTAGCATGAGTAGTGAAGTAAGATGAAAATAACAAATTTCACTTGTATTTGTCGTTTCACAGTGTATATAATTTTTTTTATAAATGTGTACACAAGTGTAGGTCAACATAATTGTCACCAAAGATTTCAATTCTAATCAACAATTTGTCTATATTTTTTGGTATTTTGTTCTAAGAACAATTTACACAGTTTAACTAGCTTAATTATTTTACTGCACAATTTCAAAGTTATGTGGATCACTAAAGCTTGACTATGTGTTTCTTGTGGGTTTTTTTAAAATTTTATTCCTTTACATTCCCAGTGAGCCATACGGCCTCAAGCTAGAGGCTTGAAGTTTCGGTAGCAGTGGTGTTTACTTTTACGGGCTGGGGTTGTTAGCTTCACGTCCAACCTTGCCTCTATATCGGTCTTATTACTGGCTTAGCGAGGTACAGGAGTGTGTCGGCCGGAGAAAGAATCCCCGGACCAAATGCATGGTTGGCGAGAATTCTACCGCTATGCCACCGACGCACATACATTATCAGGGCGAGGCGCATGCATATAGCACACAACCTTCTTCAAATCTTGCACGAAACCATTGGGTCGCATACTATCTCATCGCCCTTAGCAGGTATGGTAACAAAAGTCACGAGAACATCATCAGAATATATGACAGGCTAGGTGAATAGAAACAGATTTTGCACTGGTTACTCGCATTCAAAAATGTCCGATTTTAATTTTATAATTCAACAGTCAATTGCCTTGCTTGATTCACTTCTTTCAGTTAGTTTAAAAAAATCAGTTTAAAATAGTATTTACTAGTGAGTGAAAAACTATCTGGTGTCTTAATACGAAACTGTGTTTAGAAGAAAATGCAGTTGACAGCAGATGATAGTCATGCTGCATTGCAGACTGATAAGGCGTTTTTGAAAGTGTAGATAATTTATTTCTTAGCCAGGGACTACACTGTGGCATACTAATGTGACTTCTAAGTATTCCAGATTCCATTTTATAAGTCATCTGAATCTTTCCAAGTTTAACACAACCTAGGACACGTAATCGGACGGCTACCAGTTCTCAGTACCTTTCCCGTTGCTACAAATGGTTTTGAATTCTATTATATTGACTGACTTAATTAATAACGTGGAACTTTCCACAAAAATGTAGCAGTGGTAATGGACAATAAATTGTGTCTGAAACGTCATCCAGTAAATAATATTACTTTAATGAGTGATAAACGCAATAAACAAACCATTGTGGAATTGCAGCAGTCCAGGTTGACATGGTTCAGAAGACAACACATAAACCTAGAGAAAAAATCTGATCAAGCCATAATAGACGAAGATGCATGAGAGCGAGGAAAATTAAGTGAAGATGACTCAACAATTTTAGGATCTGAATGGTGACGAGGAGTTAACACATCTACACCGTCATAATGTATGATATAAATTACTGTCACTTCATTATCTTCGGGATCGTTCACCTAACTATATTTCATGTGATCCCCATAATTTCAACAACATGTTCCCTAAATCAAGAAATTAGAGTTATCACCTTTGACAACTGCTACTTTTTGTCATTTGAAAGATGACACTTAGCAAACAGACACCTAGTCGCTTCCTTTCTGAGATATTGATGCTGATTGTAAAGAATCCACCATTCTAACCAATTAACCTTTTGTTATGCTGTTGATTGGCGATCTGGAGGCATTTTTCTGTTCCGACAGCAGTCTATGGAACAAATAATTTTTTTATTAGATCAAGCTTAACAAATGCATTCTTCTATGTCTCATGCTTTCATGAATAATACATAGGCGAAAATGTATCACAAGAATATGGAAGAAAAATAAGTGCGATAGCATTTAATACACCATTAAATCATGATACAACACATAAGGAAAAGATTCTTAAATGCACAGGCAATAATAGTACCCAAGATACATACATAACGTTACATAAGATTTCTTATTTGCCTACATTAAACAATATATTTTCGGATAAAATCATTCGACCTAATCCGGTTAGGAGATAAGGATTGAGGTTAAAAAAGGAACGTAGACTGGGACATGATTCAAAGTACGATGAAACTGGTAGAGTTCAATTTTCATTACAAATCAACATTAAGTGGGGCATAACTAAAACTGAGGCAGGTTTGAAAATATATTCCACTATGCTTTGGAACTTCTCAGAAGCATGCACACACGGCCTATGTATATAAGCAGTCAGCTGCTAATAGTATTCTGTGAAATACTAATTGTTATCTACTTTTATCCACTCATAAACAAATCTCTGGTTGACACACTCCTAAACTTCGTTTAGCCGGTAGCAAACCCGGTAAAGAGGGAAGGTTGGCAACTTTACCCTGTAAAGATAACACCACTGCTACTAAAACTATAAGACTCAAGGTTGAAGCCATATGTCCCACTAAGAAGGTAAAGGAATGAAATTAGCAAAAATAAATATAAAATTAATGAAATTTCTTTGACTTAATATTAGGCATAATACATCTTTTTCATAAGATCGCGAGTTAAACTACAGAAGTTAGTGATTTTCTTGTATAAGCTAGTGTGAAAAACACAGGCAAACATACTGAATTACAGTATCTGCAGTATACATTGATGAAAATTTCAAGTAAATTAATCCCTCGTGAAATACCTAAAACCAGGCCTCTTGGAAAGAATTTCAAATAATATTATGTTCTCCTCTCCACATCACTGAGTATTTGACATAAGAAGACTTAAATCAAAATATTTAATCTATAAAAATGATAACTCAAGATTAAATTTGAAACGAGTTCCTCGGCGCACATTTTGCACACCTCTTTACGACTAAGTTTTCTCACGGTGTATTTTTTTCAGTAGTACCACATTTGTGAATCCTGAAAAGTAATGTGTTTTCAACGGATTTAATGATTAACACTGCCTTGTCTAACAAATTAATGATTCATTTTAGTTGTACTCAATATAACGTACAAAATTTTGAATTTCATTATTATTTTCTGCATTGCCATTCGTTCATTAAAATGCCTTTTTCAGATGCATTTACTCATATTTACCTCAGAATTTGATAAGAAAAACAAACTACATTTTGTGCTAAATTGAATTCCTTCAGGACAGTGTAATGTTAATTGAACGGCAAAGTTCTACAATAGAGTCCCAAGGAACGAACGCACAAGTGACCTTGAACCGACCAATCAGAATAAAGGATGATTTTTGCATAAAATTTTACGTATTTTTACATAAATAAGCATGAAAAAAATCAAACAGGGTACTTTTCTCTAATATGAGATAAAAAAATGTTCCAGTTATTAAGAGGAGTTTCAGTTTTTAAATGAAACCAATTTCTATACATATATTCATTCAAATGACTGAAAATAACTTCGTTTTGTGATCCGTTGATAGCTCAGATTCTATTTTCCAGTCTTCCCCAGAAACCTTCGATGGAGTTATTATGAGTACCGGTGACAGGGTCGACGGAATCATTCGAATGCTTCACACTATGATGTATATATCCCAATTGCGATAATTGGCTATATCCCGCCCATTCATCTGTGTGAATGGTGGTGCCTGGTAACACTAGACGCTGAATAATAGGGAGGAGTGTATCAGCACTCGATCTAGAATCAGCTCCATAAACCCTTTGCGAATGTAGGTGTCATAAATTCCTAAAACCCAAACGTTATTCGCTCTGGCACCCAGTAATTGGACAGAAACAAGATATTCAGGCAAACTTAAACTTTCGACACCAATAACAACCAATCATCAAAGACAGTTTCAACTTTTCAAAGAAAGTTCCTAGAAGACAATTAATTCAGTGTCACTTACCAGTATGCACAATTATTCGCGCTAGAATAATGGTGAGCTTCCTCAACCAATGACTAGCATGCGTTCAGGGTCATTGGAACATTCACAAGGTCATTGGAACAGTTACAATCCTGGGACTCTATTGTTGAACTTCGCCAATTGAACTTCCAGAAAACATTAAATTAATTACATCAACAAATTGTAAATAAAGTGAATATAAACAACTTAAGATTGCTATAAATATTATTAATGCCTCATTGGTGTAAGCAGTCAACAGTTTTGCAAGTGTCCACCTTGATCAAATTATTGAGGTTTTGGCAGTTCATTCAAATAATTAGCCATCATTTATTAGACAAACGAATATCCCAACCATTTGCACCCATACAAGGTTGTTGTATTTAAATTTATTTATTTCAAAATAATAGCAATGCAAGACAAATTCAATCTAATAACACGTCTTGTATGCTATTGATGCAAATATATTTCGGTTATACTAAGAAGATATACAAAAGCTAGTATCCTAACAAAGACATACATCGCTCTTTCAACTCCAAGTAATATATTCTATGACTGATAGTTTATCCAAACCAGATGTACTGAAATTATAATGTGGATAAAATTTATTTTGATAAAGTCTCACAGTGTTATACAGCAATATTTACTGATGATGTTTCGAGCACGATTTATTGCTCATAATCATATCAAGGTACTCACACAACTTTCGAACTTAATAATAATAATTTGCTTTATTCCAAAACAGTACTTGTGATACAGAATGGAATTCTCAGCATTTTTACTACAGTATCGCATCCAGTTAGTAAATTATCAGTAAATAGAATTCTACATAGATTAAGGAAATGTCAGTTCATTATGGCAACAACATATTGGCCAGTCGGTAGCAAAGCCAAAGCTGAACAGTATTTGGTGTTAGAAAAGTAGGTGCTGTCATAATTACTGGCGTAAGCGAGAGAAAGAAACAAAGCAGCACATAGCGGAAAAAAGAGAGAGAATAGGAAAAGAAAGAAAGAAAATGTTGTACCTATAAATGATATGAGTTGGAAAGACGAGGT